ACTCAATGGCACCTAACAACAACAACAACATTCTTAAAAGTGTCTGAAACTGTGTAATTAAATATATCTTTTGATAAATGTGTCTCTTGTAACTCAAATATGAGGCAAATGGACCAGCACAGATCCAGAATCATCTTCAGAGTCTCATTTTCAGGAGGGTTAAAGTCTTCTGAAAGGTACTCAGACCCTATCATGTCTTTAGAGTCACTTGTACTTTGGAAAATGTACTTTTAGAAAGAGGGGAGAAGAAAAAAAAGACAAGTGATGTTGTAAAAAGAACTCTGTTATGGTCCAGAAACAGAGGACCCTAGGACCATTAAGAGAGAAGAGCACAAACAGAATGTGGGACCCTATCCAAAGAAGCAGTGGCACCAGAGATAGAGGCAGAGATGAGGAGGCAGAGATGAGGACATGCAGAGATGGAGCAGCTGAGGACTCTAGATTCATGGGAAGAGAGGGGCTGGGTACTGGTAGCTGGGAAGCAGGCTTGCAGAATGTGCCTTTTGGTTGTTGAAATTATTATATATTCCTGAGTGTTTCTGTGTATATACCTCCTCAAAAACAAACAAACAAAACAGAACAGGAAATGGAAACAAATACTGTTGAATGATGATACACAGAAGAGATTGTAATCATTGCAATGAAACAATGTAAAGCCGACATTCTCCCAGGTAAAGCATCACTCAGTTCACGATAAAAACTTAATAGAAAAAAGAACGCTGTCCAGGAAGGAGAAGACTTGGACCCTGAGTCCTGGCTGACAGTTACGGGATCTTGCTCAAGTTGTTCCCATTCCACAAAGTCTCAGTTTCCTCACATTGAAAATGAGGTTTATACTTCCTCTTTTGGACCTATGAATCTCTAAACTGATGAACACATGCTAAGCTTGTATGATAGGAGATGTCAGACAGATGCTGTCTCTGTCGTGTGACCCAGGCAAAGTGTGCCCCCAAACATCCATAGTATAACAACCCTTGAGGACCCTGAAGAAGGTTCAGATTGTTTGCTCTTGGCTGAATCCAAGTTCCAGGAGCCTAGGGCACCCCGTTCTCACTAGGGTTGCGGCAGGAAACTGTAGCACCCACCAGGCTTACAAAGATGTTCCCAACCACACTCTGGGTTTCGGTGACTGTAGTACCCATGGTGACCTGCATCAGCCAAGCAATCTAGAAGGAAACAGGAGGCTTTTAGTGAGCTCCTATCACCCAGCCCCAGAGTCAGAGTCAGGGTTGGAAGTACTTACTCCTTCCACTCCCAACGCAAACCTACATTTCCCCAAAAGGTCCTTCATCTTCTCCTTCCACACCTCCATTGAATAGGACTGGCCACTGCCCAAGACCACCCATTCTATGTTAAGATGGTCCCACTCACTACAGGGGAGCTTCTAAAATGTGTGGCCTCAGTCTCCATGCTAAAAATATTTGCCCATGAATTCCCTTTACAGGGTAACATTATTATTAACATGCTGTGGAG